CGAACGTGGTAGATCCCATACCTGCTGGTAGTTCTGGCTCCGAATAGCGACTTTGATTTGCCACGGGCCCCGGCCAAGAGAACCTCACCTTAGTCATCCTGCCAAAGATGTAGATCTGATCCCGAACATCTCGGTGCTTGCATCACCAGGGATGCTTCAAGCGAACAAGCACCACCCCTCTCCCACTCCTGCCCCACAGTAGTTGGATCTGCAAGCTGCAAGGTCATGGCTGCAATTGCAGACCCCAATGGCCCTCCCACCGCCATCAAGCAAGCTGGGACTTGGACAGCTTTTGACTTGTACCTGAATGTTGCATTGAGAAGATAAAGAGAAGCATAAGTAAGTCAACTGAGGCCATGCCCAGAGGGGAGTTTCTCAACTCCGTTGGCTGAGCCCTTACTGCGGTACCTTAAGCTTCCTCAACATGATTGCGAGTGTTTTCGAGTGTTTTGGGGTACCGCGTCCTGAAGTTCTGCAGCAAAAGCATCGAGATCTTCTCGTGAACTCTCCTTGCCCCACTGGTGCTCGTGCTCGCAGATGGCGACCTTGTGGTCACAATCATCAAGAAGCCATTGATCGACATTATCCAGTCGGGCGTCTGACCCCTGGAGGGTTGTACACCTGGAGAGAGCTTAATAGGATTTCTTGCAGGACCCCTCAAGCTTTCACTGTCGCATTGAAGACTCGCAGACAGTCATGATTCAACGAAGGGGGCATCGGTAGGTCCAGACGCAGCCAGACTACCAGAGCATGGAGCGTCCGCGCCTGAATACATGCATAGATGCTGGTTTCCCTGTTTAGATTGATCGGGGAAGAGCATTGAGTTGGCAACTGCTGCCCCGAGGCTGGATATATCCACAGATCAATATTGAAGGCCTTCGGCTGAAGCGTTGGAGTCCCGCATGGCAAGGTCTTTTTGGGTTAAACCGCAGCATGTTCCGGCGCGCAGGCCTTGGCCCACCAGGCTTCATGGGAACGACTTGGGCTGGAAGTGACGGCATCCAGGCGAATGTGGACGCGCGGGTGCCCGGACACCTCATCGCGCTGTTCGCGCTGATGTCGAGTCGTCGTTCACTTTTGGCCGGGGACAAGCCCCGCCACGCCAATGCCCTCCTTGCATGGATATGGGCGGCCTTGATGCCACTGAGGACATCCAATGCCAAGAGGCCCAGGAGGGCTTTCTGCAGACGATTACCGCTGCGCCCTTACTCGCCTTCTAAATAGCTGACCCGGGTATACATCTCAAGGTCCAAGTATACTTGTTGAAGTTGTTCTCTGTTCACCGAGGTGACCGCTATCTCCTGGCCAGTGAATCCTTTCACATATGCCACAGGGACGCTAATGCAAAAGAATCCCAACGTCACGGTTCCGTGCGCCATGTTGTTCTGCCCAGGGCCCCCTCTAAACCTATGGAGGTACCCAAGCCTGCATGCAGTGTGATGCATGCTGCATGCCGCATCTGGCGCAGGTACACGATACAGCTACGGTCTTGCGGTCAGCCCGTGGTGATCCAGGTCGCAGCAGATACCGGTTGACTTGAAGCATGTCTTGTACAAGTACAGCGATGCGCTTCAAATGGGGTTTGCTTCAAAGCACATGCCAGGAGCAGACTGGCAAGGTGTCCAACCCAGATGGGACAGGAGTTGAAAACTGGAAACGTAATCACCTGGGAGCCGGTCGGTGTTGCAGCACTCACGGCTCCATGACCGATATCTCCCCTGGCCCCACAGCCACATTGATTGTCGCCCTGTGCCCGTAGGAGCCTTTATACAAGCACATGACGCACCTCCGCTAGATCCTAGAACAGCTCAAGAACGCCCGAGGAAGCGCCAATAACAAACTACAGCCGAGATCACTCTCACCTTCCGGCTGGCGCCCGACGTCGTGCGGGACCGCCGATGGGGCTTTGGTGACACAGCCCCGCGCGGGGCTCTGGATATTGGGGCTCGGCAAGGGCTTCTGCTCAGAACGTGTGACGGTTGGGATCGCTTAGAACTTAATTCTATCCGTTATAAGAATGAACTGAGGTTCGTTTTTCATTTCTGATTTTCTATGCGCCTTCATTCATCCGTTATGAAAACCCTAGAATCCTAGAATCATAGACTTCCTTTTTCTAGGCCCACTCAAAAACAATTTCAAAACAACATTCCGGAGTCCCCTGTTCTTTGCATGCCCTGGGCCGGCGCGAGATTGTGAAAAGTTGGTTAATGAAAGTGACCTGGGAAAAAACGTAAAGTGAGCTGCCTCGGGAAAGGGTTTTGTGATGGGGATCTCGGGTGATGGGGATCTCGGGTGCTGAGCAAGATACACAATCCGACAAACTCATCTCGACCAGCAAGCCTCATCTGCGAGACTTCTCCCTGAGTGAGAGAGAGCGGGCTGCTAGGTGCCTAATGTTTTACAAAGACACACAAATGACCTTTCCCGACTTCGGCGCCACTCACTTGAGGTACGATTCCAAGTGCGAGTTCATCTAGTCATATCTGTACACTTCTATATACTTCTATGATGTTTTATACATATTTACAAAGGTGTCATGCGTGCATGTGTCTATATAGACATGTCTGCGGATGTGTATTCATAAACTTGTATCTGGCCAGTCTAGCTCTAGTTTTCGCACCTGGCTCACATAGTGTCAAGCATTTGGGAAGTCTGCGTTTCGACTGCATCAGCCGAGGTACCGCGTAGCTTGGTGGGAAGACATTCCTGGGATCAGTGAGAAGGCTCGTCGCCTTGGAGGTTGTAACGTGCTGCGCGTCGGCAAGCCTTCCCTGGAGTGAGCGTCGACAAAAGAAATGCCGCTCAAATCGGAGATCCCAACCACTGTCCCCCAAAAAACACATCAACCTTTCAGGCTCTAAACCTGCTGGATTCTCAAAATAATGCCCGTCAGTGCAGAGAATTTAGCAGAGCACCATATTTTCGCGGATTGCCACCCCAAAAAAGTTTGTTTTAAAGAGCTAAGCCCAACAGCCCTTGCTTGCGGCGTCACTGCTTGCAGTAAACTAGCATTTGGATGATCGCACAGGCAGAGAGGATCCGACGATGGACAACGCATGGCTGCAAAACGTTCTGGAGCCGCACACAGGAGGCGTGACATGGCTCAGAGCAGGTAGTTCCGAAGCTGTGAAGGCGTTTGCGGGTGGGCGGGACCTGAGCAAAACATTCGAGAGTGATTCTTCACACATTCCCGTACAATGCTCGCAAGCCGCATCTGCCTGAGTCCAACCACCTCAGGGTCATCTCTTTGGTCTGAGAAGCCTGTTTTGGTGGCGTTGCCAGATGTGTCATCTGCATCGTCCAGCTGAGCATGCCCGCAAGCTTCGACAGTAGCACTCGTCGAGCTGCAGCCAGGACATCGTCACTGCCGAGTGCGACCGGCTCCCCAGCAGCCAAGGCATTGAATCGTCTGGGAGTCTGGCCATTAGCTACACATGATGCCGACTGTCTGCTTGCGGTGATACCCTGCGTCTCTTGAATTCCAAGCAAAGCGGACGCCCTTTCGTTTAACCTGTTTTCCAGGTTCCGTGATGACAGTTGAGCTGGTGTGAGGATCTCAGTGGACCTTTCAGGGATGAGCCCAGCTTCGGTAGCGGTTCCCGCGCTGCTGCTACAATCGCTGTGCCGCCGTCATGGCTTGTGGGCGAGTGTTTTCTCGGAGGTTCGACAGCCGATGCTCCTGCAATACTTGGAAAAAGTTGATGTCTAGTTGACGAGGCCACGCCCGAACTACAAAGTGGAGGGAGCACCGTCTCCGAACAGGACTGCGAGAGATTTTCTCATCTGTCGCACAGCTCTGTCATGCAACTCGTTCTGAGGGTAGCCTAGGTCATTGTTGGAGCTGTGCCCTGCGAGCAGCCTGAAATCAGATGGTATCAGAAGGTGAGAAGGTGGAGTATGAGAATGGTTCACATATCGGCTGAGACTTGCAAGGAACGTGCACAACGCCGTGGGGACCCTAGTGAGCTTCACTATTTATATGCCCAATATTCTCAGTCAGGCTTGCGGATTGATGCAAATGCTTGGTGTTGATCACAGATTTCCTACATGCTGGTGGCCTTCCTTATCCGCCACGAGCTGAGTGCATCTACTGAGAACCCATGTCCATTGTTGGATGCGAGCTGAGTCTTCGTTCACTGGGAGCATGCGCTGTCATCTCTCGGCATGGCTTCTCACGGTGATGGGATTTGTGCGTAATCAAGCTATGGCCGCTCTTGAATGCTGAAGTAGGTGTCAGAGCCATGGCTGCAAAAGCTTGGAAAGTAACTTGAAGTATCTGCCAAGTGAAAGGAACATGTCGTTTTGGCATGGTAATGCAAAAAGTATGCAAAGTAAGTTGCACCAGCAGGAAGCCTTTGTTTCTCACTGCTATGGCCTGTGGCGCATGCTCCAATCTGACACTCCGCCGGTCGATGCGGCAGTGCGCTGGCGAAATCTGCAAGGCTTCCAGACATAGAAAAACTCGCACAGGGATGTATGGGCTCGGCAATCAGGTTGCGGCGTTTGAGATCCCCTTCAAGGGTCTTAGATTCTTAGATCTGTGGCCGAGCTTCAAAACACATTGTTGATTTGCTGTGACAATTTCTAGTCGAGTCTAGTCGAGTGAAGACAACATAGACAAGACCACTGAATGCGCTAGGCAAACAAATCAGCCTTTGCTTTTTGAGACCCGAACGCCCCAAGCTCCAACCCACTTCGTGTCCGCCACAAGACGGAGGAAGCCCTGCAAGGTTCCTTCGATCCCCGTTCAGCACGCCGCAGAGCGCAGCTCGACTTCTGGCTGCGCCGAGGCGCGGATCCACGAATCCTGGGGCAGCTGTGGAACTGCCAGTGAGAGCTCTGACTGGGTTGGTGGGATCCACATGTCAGCGACTGGCTAGAAGAACTATGTAGCATTTTCTGGAGCGCAGAAACTTGTCTTATTAGCGTGCATCGTGGAGGCAAGCTATCTTATGAGCAAGCGCTGCGGACGGTGGAGACATTCCCGGAGTGTCTGCTGGATGGGGAGATCGTGCCTGGAGCTGCAATATGGCGTACTGTGGAACATTGTGGAACTTGTGCTTGCGGCTTGAGGGAAGTACTTAGTAGCTTTGACCTCCGTGTCCAAACCTTTCTATTTTGGAGGTCCTCCTCCAGACTCTCTCCAACCAACCTCTGCTCCTGGCAGCAGCGAAGCCACGCAACGTGCGCTTCTTTGCCAAGGAATTGGCCATGGCCCTGCAGAAATCTGCAAGATGTGGAAAAGCCATTTGACCCCACATGCAGGAACACGCCTTCGATTTCGAAGAGACCGTCTGAAGCTTAGTTTTCTTTCGTTATAACAGTTTCTAAGAGAACAGCCCGAGAGCATCAATGGCAAGTGGGGTACCATCCTGAAGCGTATCAGGTCGAAGACTGGTTCCAGAAGCGATTTCAAAAGAAGATCCAAACCTGCCACAGCCTGGAAGAGGAGGTTTCCGGAGCCCCTGGGCCTCATCTTACTGTTGGTGCGTGGCGGGTGAAGGAGTAGTGGTATCTCAATGATAACGGCCCTTTCTTGTCGCCCATACTAACCGACAGTAATTCACAGAACTTCCGAGTGATTGAAAGTGGTCGAATGATCGTGGAATAGAGCGGTCAGAGATGTCCCCACCTGCCCGGATGCTGGTGTTTTTTTTTGTATTTTCTGTGGCTCAGGTCGTGCTCATGGGAAGCAAGTCGAAAACCTTACAGCTTGTGAAGCTTCAGTTCCAGGAACACAAGGCCACACGATGCACGGATGCTCGTGACCTGCTTGGCGACTTTTGGGGACTTACCTTGCTCTTTCTGGAGCCTTCCCAGGTGAAGCGAGTGTTTCATGCGCTGGTCCTGGGCCATCCGAGCTACTGGGCCTAATGCAGGGCCCTAACCCTCAACGCTGTACATCGTTTACATTGCAGGCAGAGTTGTTGGGTCATCGGTCATTTGTTAGATTTATACCCTCCATGCCTGCTCGAACTCTCATCGAAAACTGCAGTTGCAGGATGCCTTTTAAGTCGCGAGCGTGTTGTGGAAGCTTGCTGGCTTAATGCCCGTCGACCTTGACATGTGCAGCTTCAGATTGCGGAGATTGCATTTTGTAGCGAAGCCTGAGTGCAACATAGTGCAACCAGAGCTGTATCTTGATGGTGAGCTACGGTCAATCAGTCAATCAGGTCTAGCTAGGTTGTGAACACAGAATCTAGAAGCAGAGTCGGCATGAGATGTGATGGGGCACTGGCTCGGCACTGGGGGCACAACTTTCAGATGTAACATATGTAACCGTAAGCAGCTTCGCAAGCAGCTTCGCAAGCAGCTTCGCAAGCAGCTTGAGGCTGGGATGATGCAAAGTTCAACACACCGGCGGGGTGGGCAGTGAGTTGGAAGGGACAGACTTCGATGTGGGAGGATGTTAGCGGGGCCAGATATTGGGCTGCAGTATTACATAGTATTGCGAAGGGTGGCACTCACCGACAGTTCAACTGGAGCTGCTCAGGGTCACCTGAACAGTGCCTGAATGGCCTGGCAGGTGAAAGGAGGGCGACCGTGGACATTGGCGAAGACCCTGCGGCGGGGTTTCTGGGCCGTCGCTCGGAGAAGATTTGGCCATGAGATGCCATGAGGTCCTATGTGCTTGGACCACTGAATTCGAAGTCAGTGAGCTTTCTGATTTCTGAATGCTTCCTGAGATTCTGGTTGTATCATGTCTCTTTGGTGCACATATATCTTGTGCAGCAAGGGCGTTGAAGATGCCACATGTCATCACCGGCTCAAGGATTCACTGATCTCTAGATTTCAGGGACAGTCCGATTGAGCTACTGGGTACCGTAGTAGGAGTACTGCAGGCCAAAGTTGACAAAAAGCGTATCGTTGCAGCACATTAATGTTGCACCCGGTTTAGTATCGGCCCCCGCTTTAAAGACAAACTGGCCGAACTATTCAGGACATGCTGACTGTTTCGGACTCCCGCTATAAAGACAAACCGCCCCCGAAATCCGGAATTTGTTTTTAGGATTTGGGGCTTGTTTCGGCCCGGAGGATCCGGCTAAAAGCCGGGCCTTATGATTTTAAAGCCGGACCTTGTGATTTTAAAGGCCGACCTCATCCATTCCAACCGGCTCGAAACCATTAATTCCCTTTAAGAAACTATTGGTTTCGTTCAATCCGACAAGGGGGTAGTCCAGGAGCCCCCTCCGACCCGCTATAGTGGGACTGATTCGGGACCCGCTTTAATGTCCAGGCCCTGGCCTGGAGGCTCCAAATTTGGATGCCTTGGTCTCTTGGCTTAAAGCCGGGCCTTATGATTTTAAAGCCGGACCTTGTGATTTTAAAGGCCGACCTCATCCATTCCAACCGGTTTGAAACCATTAATTCCCTTTAAGAAACTTTTTGAAAAATTGGTTTCGTTCAATCCGACAAGGGGGTGGTCCAGGGGCCCCCTCCGACCCGCTATAGTGGGACTGATTCGGGACCCGCTTTAATGTCCAGGCCCCGGCCTGGAGGCTCCGAATTTGGAAAAAGCCTATGGATCCCTTTTAAATTCATATAAACTCATCCCGTACCCCTTTTCGATTCGCGCGACTCCCTTTTAAATTCATATAAGCTCATCCCTTTCAGATTCATATGGTATCCCTTTTAAATCTCTCTAAACTCCTCCCTATAAAAAATATAAAATCCGGGGCCGTTTATTCAGGACCCCATCCACCCCCGCGACTGTTCGGGGGGGGGGGGGGGCCCCACACTAAACCGGGTGGTGCAACATTAAGTAAAGTCCACGACTCAGCGCTGAGTGGGGCGATGCTTGTCGGCTTGCATGTCATCCAGGCCATTGCCGGCGCTGCAACGCCGCAGCCGATCGCTCTTGTGGAGGCTTGGACTATGGCCGCGCAGCTGCAGAGCCATGCTGCAGAGATTTGGTGTTAAAGGGGCACGGCTAGCATCAGTGCAAGAGCTCAAGCGAGGGCTTTTTGTCAATTAAACGCCTCTCCTATCCGGATTGTTGGCTCAGGTTGGACGAACACATCAGATCCAGGCCCGGGTGGCCCTGATCAGCCATTAATCCCAGGAAGACTTGCACCATGTCGAAAGCCTAGTGGCCGAAGCTTTCCATTCCGTTTCCCTCTCATTTTCTCCATCTCTCCTTACTCTCCCTTCTGTCAAATTTCTATTTGACTTTGCCTCAATCACCATGCCTCATCCACTCTCGTCTCTTCCTTGTGAATAGTTCTCTGGACAGGTGGGCTTGCTGCCGGCACTGCTTGCATGATAGTGCATGTTACACGTTCAACAGGTCATACGTCGCTAGCTAGCCACTAGCTGCCAGCTCGTGAGCTCGAGGAGCACCTCCGCGCAGCTGGACACCCCGTGTTGGGAGACATCCGCCACGCTGACATGCCAGAGACGCCTGGCTGACTGGTAGAGCTACACGTGAGGTCCGGATGGCTTTGTTGACATGCGTTGCATCTACCTTAAGAACCTCAGAACACTCTCTTGCTAGCAAATTTGCTGCGCATGCGCTCGACAAGCTCTGGGCATGACAAGTGGTACGTACAGGGACACGCCCAGACTCGTGCGCTGATGCGTGTCCGAATGCGTGGACGCGCATTGGGTTCAGTTCGACCGGTGGCTTTCAGCCGCGGACAAGCAACCTCTAAGAAGTGCAAGCTTGCGGGCATTCAGTCACCCGAAGGGTCTGGGCACATCAGGCATGTGGGTCTTGAAGACGCTTTGTTTTTGACAGCATTGGGGAATGCGGGCCTGTCTTAACCTGTGAGGACGCCGTTTGGAGACGCAGAGCTGCATTGCTTCCGAGTCTTCCTACACCTTTCGAGACTGGAGCTGTGCCTGCGTGAAGAGGTGGGTCTTTAAAGATTTGAATGCCAATGCCAACATCTAGAACTGGGCCAAGCGAAGCACAGAATCAGAGCGTTCAGCCTCAACGTCTCCCCAAGCGGTGAACACACCCGGCAAATGTCTGTAAGCCTCAACGCACGGCAGGAGCCCACTTTTGTGGAAGTACCACATGGGTTCGACTGCCACATAGTTGATTTGCCGGAAGTGCGTCGCAACTGGGCGGCATCGAAGGTTGTACTACACACGAGCCAAAAGCGTACTAGTAGGCCGACAGATAGTGCAGCATCCTAACCCCACCACCGTCACCCAAGGGACCACCAGTAATGGTTCAAGAGGACTTTGCATCGAGGAACTCTACAAAGGATGATTCACCGTTTGTGTTGCGCACGTCATCAGAAGCAGCTGTGCAATATTGGGTGTCTTTGTCTTCCCCCTTGCAAGATTATTGAGCAGGGCGGGCACAGACTAGGCAAGACTCCGCGAGTGTTGTAGCAGCTCAGGCGATTTGGGTTCCATGAACACTACTCACTACTATGAACCCCCTGCTTGGCAGGTGTGCTGAGGTTTTCACAATAGGTTTTCAAGTTGAGCCTCTTCAGAAGCATGAAAACATCTCCAAGAGCCAGAGTCCAGACTGAGGCTTGCCGGCCACAGCGCCGCTTGAGTCGCTGCAGTGTTTGGGAACGGAGGCCCGGAGAAGAGTCTTGACAAGGGCTTGGGAAGGGCCGCAGGGTTTCGAAGGATTTAGGCAGCACATTCTTTGGTTTGGGCGTTCAGAGCACGGATGATGCTGTGAAAATGTTGGTGATTGTTGGAGTTGTTGCCGATCAGCCGTGGAAAAGCTCAATTGCAAGGGGCCCGCCCTCGGCCCTCACTTGAAACCTCGGAACTTTCTATTCAATTCCCCAGTCACGCCAAGCTGTGAAGGGGAGAAGTCGACAGAGACACGGAAACCCTTTACAGTATAAATTGGTTTTGCCACCCAACAACTGCCCCAAAGTGCGATCAGCATTTCGTAGGTCCTGGACAAAGCCACTGGGTCGGATGCTGTGGCGCGGCTCAGGCAGGATTCGCATCGGGTGTTCGTTGCCGTTAGCTGGTCCTAGCTTGTATGCTTGTTGCAAACATTTGCAGACAGGCAGTGGTCCTTCCTGGTCAGCACTGACCGAATCTCGAGACTCTCGGCACCACTTGTTTAGTTTCGGAGCCTGCAAAGCTGTCAAACCAGAGATTCCAGGATTCCACTGTGTGAGAATTGTGAGAATTGTGTACCTTGTCACTACGCTCAGCGTGAGGATGTGATTGCCTGTGGCTCTTGGACCGGTTTCCCGAAAGCTTGACCAACTTCACACCACATGAGGCAAGAGGGACTCTTTTCGGGATTCTCTAGGACTCTGAGGGGCTCTGAGAGCATCTGACAGCCAGAGGCACTTTCAGAGCGCAGCGAGCCTTACCCCTAAGATTTCTCAAGCGCGGCGGCACAAGATCAGGTGTGGGCAGGTGAAGGCTTCGTAGTCGGAAACTCAGTTGCTGAACTACTGCACGTATCTGCACGTGACACAATGTCTGCACAGAAGGCTGGTGGGAGCCGGGAATCGGGTGTTGTAGCGTGCTCATGGCGTGAGGTGCTGCACAAGCCCTTCAACAGGCTTCTATACCACAAGACGCTTGCAACGACTGGTATGGGCTGAAGGTCTGTATATGTCTGTATCTCGCGGCTGTGCTTCTAAGCGTGCGAGATAGCTGGTTCCAGCTGTCGGTCGTCTGTCTGAACGTCCCATGCGCTGACGTCTGGTCGCAACACAGTACTCCATCGTGTCTGCTCGTGAGATGTATCAATCAAGAAAGACGATCACGCTTACTTTCTAAGTTTCATATGATGATGAGAATCAAACCAAGCCCTTCCAGGAAGATAACTCCAAGTTGCACCCAGACAGCCTCGCAAATCCCTGTGGGTGAAGCTCAGGAAGCGGCTCCCGAAGGACCTCCCACTAATGGATTGGGTCCGAGGTGCAACCGATCTGCAGCAGGGTTAGAATGAGGCACGCCTTTCCATTTGAAGGTGCTTACCCTCACGAATCTCCTCGCCTTTGCCATCGGCTCGACTACGGCACTTCAGGCGCAGCAGGGCTTTGCGACACCATGCCGTGATTCCGTGAAGCGGTATAAGGGACCAAGGATGACGAAGGGACCGTGCATGAGACAAGTGCTTGACTGTACGTGGGAAGGCTCAAAGCCTTGAAATCAGATATGCCCAGCATATCTCTGCCACCTGGGAGGTGTCTTGCTCATTGCTCTGAACCGCGACACCGCCCGGCAAAGCCTGGACTGGTTCTCCAAGCGTCAGGCAGAGCAGAAGTGTCAGTGCTAAGTAGTTGGGCAGAGCAAGAGCTTCTGGCCCTTTGGAGCATGCCATTTATTCGATTATGTTCGGTATATTAGCAGATGCTGAGTTGCAAATGCGGGGTAGTCGCCACGGCCTCCGGCCCTGCAGGTAAAGAAGGTGGCTTGGCTTTCAATCAATATTTAATCTGTGTGGTTGACCGCGCATGCGCAAGCCTTCCACACAACTGCACTTTCTGCTCATTAGCTGTGCCAAGTTGTGAACATGCTATGATGGCATTAGGCGTGGCAGTTCGATTGAAGTTACAACTAGTTACAGGCGAACTTAAGACTTAAGATGAATCATGATGTTGCTGTAAACATCCACACGTCAGCGATTGGTATCATTCCATATGAAATGCGGACATCCGCTGAAGTTTTTATCGAGGTCTACCACGCCATAGTCTTCGGACTTCCAACCTGGCACGACGAGCACACTCTGTCTGCACCACTGCACGGCAAAACTGCCGAAACAACAGTTAAGGCCAGCTGCTGCTAGCAACGAGGTGTAGAGTGATCCTTTCTGCTAGACGTTGTTTCCTGGCTGTTTTGCAGCAGTACGTAAGGCTTCGAAGCATTGAAAGGAGCCATCAGTGAATCACTCAGAACCGTTTCCGAAGGTCATCCAGCATGGCAGTTGGCTCGCTTCAGAGACTTGCCAACAAAATCTTCAATCTAAAATCGATGACTCCGGATCTGCACACAATTTTGTTTGGTACAGTTACCCTGCCCATCCTAAGCGCTGCCCCTTACAGCGCCGGGAGTTCATCGGCAGTCCTTTTTGAGAATGTTTTGAGCATGTTGCAGGAAGCCCGTCCAGTCATCCAAGGAACGGCCCTTCGCTGCCTCGCTTGTCGAGGCATCGCCTCAGACGGGGCGGACACATCAGCAGGCACCTTAGGAACTCTGGAGTCTCAGAAAAGATGCGCGCTTTTGACAAGAGGCTTGAGGATGAGAGTGCTTGTGTTCTTCGTGTGCTTGTGCTATGTAGACGTGTCTTTGTCGCGAGCATTGGATAGCTCCTGATGCCGGAATGTGGAACTCGCCTTCCTTAAAGATACTTGCCATGGTGACGGACGTGAATTTGTTTATTGACCTGTGCCGAGATCCAGCGCCTAGTGCTACTCATGCCCAAACTCCCTACTACAGGATCCGTTTGCATCTGGCGATGGCAGGGCATCCGATCATAGGCCAGGCCCGTCGGGCTTCAAGCAGTCTGAATCTTTCTTGTCTCTGTTGTTCTTCCTGCCCACCTTGACCTTCATTGCGCTTTGCGTGCCTTGCACGTCCTCGCACGCTCTTATTGTCCAGCACCATGAATGAGGAGGGCCACCCTCGCTACCCTGTGAGGTGACACGGACTACTCGCCTTCGTTTGCGCATCGCCTTTACTTCAGGCATAGGTCCTTGTTCTGGATCGGTTTAGTTACGTAGATATGTTTGCACTGAAGAGTAAGCGCAGTGTCATGGTCCTCATCGGGAATGCGCAAACAAATATGTGTGTACTATATATATATATATGTATAATCATTATGATGTGAGGTGTTTTGCAGCTGTTGTCTTGTTTTGGAGACTTTGCTTTCTCATTGCCAGGCTCTGTTTGCATGCCACCAGCATCAGCCTCCCATTGCCATTGGGAGAAAGCAGTGTGGCTCGATCTAAGGGTCAACGATGTTCTGCAACTTGCTTGGCACCTCGCAGGCTCGTTCAGGTTGTCTTTATAGCTTAACCGTGCTAGAGACTGCTGAGGTTACTGTGCATGCGAAGCATCCATTTGACGCGTTGCTTGGCCATTTTCACGAGGACCCGGGTGCCTGTTGTTGACAGGTTGAGTGAGCTTGCGGGATATGGCGCGCGGCCTACACATCCCGTGAAATCGTGCAGCGCAGCTTCCCTCACAGGATGTAGAGAGTCTGGTGATCCCGTCCCTCTTCTCCGACGCGAGAAGTGACTCACACGATTCTTTTCAAGATGGTCCAGAGTGACGCAGGGTGCCTTCCAGCGTTGGCTCGTCAAGCCTCTCCTGTGCGCGGGCAAGGTGGCTTCCTTTGCAGCTGCATCGAAAACTGTACCCGAGATCAGACGAAGAAACCGTACCGGTGGCTGCAGTTGTCTGAGCGATGTCGATTAGGTCATCGTGCGCACGATGCGCACGTGAGGGCCACATGCAGCGCAGTGGCGATTATCCGTGGTCCTGACGACTCCGGCTGCCTCCATAGACCCGATGGCCTATCTCAAGTTGCCTGCGGCAGGTGGCACAAGCCGAGTGGGATTTCAAAGGGGACTGCCCGAGTCCATGCCGTTTCTGAATTGGTGCTGAACACTAGTGAATCCTGTCCTATGTCGGCTTCTGGCAGCCAAGCCACTTTTCTTGCCACGAGCTCTAGATGTCATCTTTGTTAAGCATGTCGTTTACTGAAAGCTCCTGCGCGAATGATTCAGACTGAAGGCGACATCCAAAGTGTGCATCTGGACCTGCTGGGTAAAAAGATATAACGTAGCCAAGCTCACGGGAGTTATGTGGAGGCCTTGTCCCGAGCAACGCGAAACCCCCCACATTGGACATAATCCCACCATGTTCCACATCATCTGTGGGCCACGACCCCTGCAGGCTGCTAGGGCACCTAGAACGCATGTGAACGCATGTGAACACGCATCCTGCCAAGCCCCGTCGGGGTTTTGCTGAGGCTGGGCCGTCCTCCTTGTGTGGGCCTATCGCGCAGATGTGCCTGGCACTCGGGGCCGGGTGCTGGATGCTTTCAGAGATGTTCGCGTGAAAGGGCAAAGTCTGCATAAAACACGCAAGCGTATGTAGCGCCGCTTTTGCCGACCTTGCGATGTTGATCTCAATCCACCATGCTGCAACTCCCCACTTGTCACAGTCGACCCTGTGGAACATATGAAGCTATGGTTCGAGCTCGGTTCGAGCTTGCGGGGCACAGCTTCAAATCTTTGTTTTTGGACCGATCTTCCTAGCCTTCCCGGGGACCCCCCGACCTCCTTGAAATTAGAGCTGAAGTGCAAAGGAGCTCAACATGCTTCTCAGGACTTTCTGGCCGTCGGAGAAGCAGCTCATGAAGCTCCTTTACTTGCCCTGGGAACGAAAGTGGCGAGAGCGCCGGGATCCTGGAACATGCGAACTAAGTTGTATAAAATGACTGTAAAAAGCTGAGAGCAGGGATGGACAGTACCTTCTGGTTAGTAGCCCCAGCGGATCCCCAATCAAAACCGTCCTGTAGGATAAGTAGCATGCATTCTTGCCAGATCACATGTCCTTGCACCTGACTGGTTTGTTTCACCTGTCTACACTTTCCGAAAGACATTCGGTTTTCCTGTTACCACAGGCCATGTCTGAGAAATACCACGCGAATGCACTGTCCCATTTCCCAACTCTTGTGGATGAGTGCCTTGTTGCGACCGCCCGCATTGTCAGTACAGTTGACGGCATCCTTGCCAAGTTCTTCGTGATGTTTCTTCTTGATTGAATATTCAAAAATGACTTCATATCCTTTCGTGGGAGGGGTCTTGCTTGAGGCTCTATTCATGCATTCCATTTTAGGTGCCGTGCGCAAATCACCAGCTGTCTCACCTCGAAATACTTCAGCTTTGTGTGCGTTGATTAGTAGTTAAGGCTGGGGCTTATCACGGTCATTCATAGCAAGGTTGGTAAAGCAACGATCCTTTCCAACTATACAATTAGTGCATGTTCTCAGTACAATGCAATGAGTGCATGTTCCCAATATTCAGTGCCAAGTTTGCCAAGGCCTCCGCCGCGGCCGCCTGCCACCTCCGGAGCGCAGAGGGCCACGACATGCTGAGACCGGTCGTGGCTTGTAAGATTGGAGAGATGCTTACACGGGTTTAAGAGAGTGCATGTCTACCGCATGTCTCTCCTGTGTTGCGGGGCAATCACAAACTCCTTCTTCCCATTTGTCAGCGAAGCCCGGCCAGGAGCCGATCACGTGGAATGTTCTCACGTCAGATTTCTGGTACCAGACCAAAATGATATGGCCAGAGACCCGGGTACTGCGCAGCTAGCTGCAACTTCATGATGATTGGGAGGCGCACTGTACAGAGACACTGTAGGTACACTTCCTTGCGTCCTCAGTGGTGCGCTGCCATATCCAGTATATCAGCAACCCTCCACCGACAGCTCACGGTTACTGCCAGCATGGGTCAACATGGATGATGTAGACCAGGTCCTAATGAGGCTTCAGGAAGCTGACGCCCGCCTGCCATGTCCGCTTTCTGCCTTTATTGAGTGAGCGAAAACTATGAACCCTCTCCCCCAAAAATCAACGACCAAGAGACTTGCCATAACAACCACTCCGCAGCTGGATTGCGCCTCAGTACGTGATCCCAGAGTTGATTTTGTCAATGCAGTGCCGAGGATCGATCGCATCATCTGGATCTTCTGTTGCGTGAAGGCGCTCAAGGGCTCCGAGCTCTTCTATTCAGTCGAGGCTGGAAATGCCGAGAGGAGGAGAGTCAGTGGTATCATGTTGATGGTTCGCAGGGTCACATCGGCCTTTTGCCGGTTTATGTAGAGAACAGCTGGCTGAGGTTGGCATACACAGGGTTGGGGTTCCAGGCTTGTGGCATCTTGTGGCTTTTTTGAGGGCAGCCGGGGTGGCTGTGAAGTACGGGTAGCTGGAAGACGTAAGAGTTGTTGTAGTTGTCGCTGGGCGGGATTGCTCAAGGATCTGTGTTGAAACCGTTGCTCGTGTTAGGACAATGTTCGTTACAGACACGTAGCATATGCAGATATGTTTTGTTTGTTTGCACGCGTGCGTTGATCCAAGGCTTGGAAGATGCAGGGGAGTTTTGTTTCTGATTTCTGGCTTTGTTTCGCCGACTACAAACGCACGGCGTACTGGTCATTAGCTCAAGCATGTTCAGGCAGCTGCCTCAAACACCGTGGCGGAACACGAGACACTCACGACTGAAAACATACAAGCCGAGCAAAGATTGAGTTCCTGCAGTTTCTATATTTTCTATGCAGGCTCACATCGGATCCGAAATAAGGTCGCAGAGAAAAATGATGAAACATGAGCAGCGAAGGCCCAACAGAGGGAGAAGTACGTGGAGTGGTCGCCGCAAAATTCGCACGAAATTCATAGCAGCGAACATCTCAGAATAGTTTTAAACCCCGCATGTCCTTTTTTTTTGCACCGATTTCATGGAAAACTCGGCACGCGCGAGCACCTTCGGGATACAACGTTGGCTGCTCAGCATCTAGTCTGCCACCAGCAAGCAACCATGAAGAAAGCATCATGTGCAGCTGGCCTCGTTCTGGGAACAGCTGGTGTTCACAATGACTCATGTTGTTGCGCTGGAAGGGGTGTCATGACAACTAAAGAGCTGCTTCATGTTGCATGGCTCGCACAGGCGCGGGAACTTATCAAGATGTCTCTGCCTCATTCAGTGCTTGCTGAGCTGGATCCCAACCTCCAAAGCTGGAGCAGCTCTTTCGAGCTGAGGCGCTCTGGCGACCGGGATACGACATACGAGAGGCGGGCTCGTTTTCGCTGTGCAATCCAGGGACAGAACTGGTCGGAGAAGGTGACCGATCTAACCGAGACATGCGACACAGCACACACGAGCATCAGTCCATGGGCATTGGCTTGCTCGGGCGGAAATAGGGACATGGCACTCAGCTCTCATCCTTCAGAGCTTCGGACTCAGGGTTTCAAGCATCTTCATGCCTGGAAACTGTCCGATGTTGTCCGAAACTGCTACTCTACCTTCAATTGCATGATGGTTCAACATGTAGGGGTACGTGAGGAGTTGATCAACTCGCCCGTGCCATTGTTCTACATGGTTGCAGCTTACATTTAGCTTTGTGGCTGGATGGCAGGTTTGTTGACACCATGAATGACAAGGACCGCCATGCGGGGCAACCTTTTGATTCGGACTGAATTTGCTTCTCCAGTGCGGCAACCGGCAGGATCAGCTGGACAAGATCCAATATGTCAAGGAGCAGCGAAGCCGCTTCGCCGCAAAGAGTATTCTCTTCGCGCAGTCATTGGAAAAGCCCTCTTAACACTCGTCCTTTCCTTGCAGCTCCCCCTGCCCTTGGATTGACTAGCAGTGGTGGCCACCACTGCTGCTGCTGCTGCTGCTGCTGCTGCTGCTGCTGCCTCTGCTCCTGCTCAAGTGATTTTCCGGCAACTCAAGCCACGCAAGCAAGGAAAAGCAAGGATGGACAACACTCAGCACGAAACCTCTCTTCTACACGAGTTCTAAACCCGTTGTGCTGGTTTTGGTGTGGCCCTGAAGCTTCCGCTCCTGGTGTTTATCCTCTTGCTCTTGATCAATGCGAGGCCTGGCGGCGAGCCTGAATCAGCCAGACAGCATGAATCGGAAAGCTGTCGGGGGCCAAACTTCAGCATGCCGTTACGTCATGACGCATGTCATCAGCCCCAATGCACAGGTCAGCGCATAGTGAACAAACTAAACCAATTGTTCAAGATAAGTTTGTGCCCACGACAGGGCTTGTTTTCGGAACAAAAGAAAGCTGCCAAGTGCATCTTCCCAAGGCGTGGCAAGACAAGCCTGCTGTGGAGGCGCTGCAGGATCAGGAGGCTTGCCGGAAGCTTCTTTAAGACAGTCGAGTTCTGGTTCTGATGCCAGACCAGCATGTGGGCATTGGCTTCTTGGAGCCATTGCTTTCATAAGGGGTTGGATGATTCCTTCGGCTCTGTAGGACCTCTGGAATCCCCGCTGCCTTAGCTTTCAATGACAAGTTTGCCAGTTAGCTTCGGGGCTGAAGTCGCAAGCTTCATCGTGAGCAGGTCAGCTACAGGGATCAGCATCACGACGCAAGCGCCCAGAGCTCCCGCCTGCAATCGCACAGGCACCTCTTTTGTACCCCAGGGGAGGGGCCTTAAAGTAGTCGGGTATTTGGATAGCCCAGATCGAGAAGTTGAGGAGCATGGAATCAAGAAGTAAGCGTGAGCCATGCGGGGGTATATGACTAGGCGCG